TCTGCCGCCATTTTTTGTCCGTTCACATGCCCAGTCTTCTTGCGCATCGTCCAGGCAAGAAGGTCCGCAATCGTGCTAAAAAGTTTGTGAGGAAGATGCAAACGGAACCCCAAAACACTCCCGAAACGACTGGGAATTAAGCCGTAGCTAAAGATATGAGAGGATTGTCTTGCATTTTAAGTCCGTCTGTTTTCCTTATATTCTCTTTAAGATTATCGAGGAGGTCAGAAAACTGAATATCGCGCGGGTTTGAACGAGCGCAAACGGAAGGGGCTGGGCGCCATAAGAAATAAAGAGACGGCTGTGAACAGACTTGCGTACGGTATACCTAAGTATGATAAAAGGAGGCGAGAAGAGTCAATCGGTGAAAAAGTTAAGCCTGAACAATACAATATAAAGTTCTCAGTGGTTCAATTATTTCTTTTCATGATAAGGGAGTCGAATCTACAGAAACAACCTCGTTCTTGGGGTCTCTCTTCTTTAAGACCCCCAGGGGAAACGAGTTTGATCAAGAAAGTGAACAAATCACGAGAAAATCATAAAAACAAAAAAAACAAACAAAAAGAAACCGGAGTGGACTGGGCTTGCAGTCGAAGTTGCTAAGCTGCTTTGAAGATGAACTGTGGGGCCGAACTTACAGACAATCGAACGTAGCATACTTCTGACTACCCCCAGTTAACTTTTGATGTCGTGGTTAAGTCCCCACCTGGAGTTTTATTTGATTTTTGATGTGGAACAAGGGTATGCGAATCAATCCGGGAGACGACTAAAATTCAGGTTAATCTTGTATGCTTGATTATTCACGCACAAATTATGACTTCAGGGTATAAACAAATCGGAAATACACCTGTCAACAGCTGATCAATGCGAATTTTAAAAGTTCGTAAGTTTCTTTACTTTAGACTGGCTCATTATCTCCACCTCGAGAGCTCCCAAAAGCTTCATCGATCTCTACTCAGAAAGTTGCCTTTCTTATCATATCCTGACTTATCACCATATTATATCGTTGGTAACTTCATTATAAGAAATATTAATGAGCTTTTGCCCCCGCATGTTTAATTTCTGGTTAACCTGGAAAATAAAATAATATAAAACTATACATCAGCAATAGTTTAAATTCGAGCAAGTTCTCGTCGGTGAGTTTCCTTGCAGAGATGTTTCCGCTTTCACGTTCAGCGCGGGCTTATCATCAAAGTCAAACAAGAACATTTCGTTTTCGTTGTGGCCCAGAGAACATCCGTGTATGCGCAAGCTGCGATCATCTTTGAAGCACGTTTTAGTCGTCTGTGTTATCTTTTCCTCTGTCTTTCTCTTCTGACAAGGAATACAATAAAACGGTGTCAGTGAATTGTGAAATTCTCTGTGATGCGCGGCTTGGTAAAACACAGACTGGAATCGATGAGGACACTTGCGGTTTTCGTAACAGGGAAGCGGATATACACTGTAAAAGTGAATCAAATATTCCTCCCTTGTTCTAAAGTACTTCCCACAAGAACAGTTACATTTCTTGTGTGAGTTTTTCATGTGTATTTCTTTCTGGTCCTGGGAGAGAAATTCCTTCTGCGGGCAAAACTGACAAGAGATTCGCAACGCCGATTGAACGAGCTTTATGTCCTTCGTTAGGGTTGCTCTTGCCTCCATTTTAGATTTTTCGTTAATATTGTGTTCGCTCTTCATATGCGCTTTTTTGATTTCTTCTGAACAGAACAGTTCATCGCAATACAGACATGTGGTTTGAGTAGCTTTGTGCTTTGAAAGGGCTTCTTCCGATTCAAATCTTTGATGGTAACGATGACATGAAGGGTTTTCACAGAAATAGTCATGTTCTGCAGTGTTATGCTCTACTGTTTCTTGATGGTTCGCAAAAATAAGGCGGCAAAACCTGCACGAATCTTCCACAACTTCGAGAATGTCCGTTTCTATACCGTTGATCTCTTGGATATCCAGATCGGGACAAAACGACTTCAAGATAGAGATAAGCTCGTCATGTTGCCTTTCTCGTTCAGCTACCAGATAGACCCGAGTCCGCGAGATTTTTTCGTCGTCTAGTTCAGCAAAATCTCCATATTTCCCCAGAAGATGTGCAATAAGCCCCGTATCAGATGCATACGGGGAGGTGGTCAGTGAGAAATGATTCTCGATCCAGTCAGAATCTCTCGGTGGTAAAGCTTTGACAGGAGTATCTTTCCTTAAGAAGACGTGAAGTTTTATTCGCGATGCCTTCGCAACCGCGGAAGCAAACTTGACGTCTTCGATGAAGTTTCGACAACTGCTCTCCCAAACCAAATAAAATTCGTCGTAACATCTTTTCGCGTTCATCGTCACTCGATTGTGCTTAAGCAACTGTGAACAGTTTGCCCAACACAGTCCTTAAATTAGTTCTTAAGTCGCAGTAATTGAACTTACGAGAAGGAAGACTAAGAATATTGTATTTCCATTCGGCCGAGACAACTTTGACGGCAGGTGGGCATATGAACAAACAAAACACCATCATAAGCGGCTTCAACGCAGTGCGGAAAGTTGACAAGATTCTTGAGTTGACTTCTCAAAACAATCAAGTCCAAACAGAAAACAGTCACCCACGTCGAGAAACAAAGGAGGGCAAACCTTCGTGTATACAAGAGGACAGAAAATTGCAATCATAGCATTTATAATTGGGATAACAAAAGCCAATTCTCGATTTCAATAAAACGATATTACGGTGTTAAAAGGCTGTTAATTGAGTGAAAATATTAGTGAGGCTTTTGTTTGTTTTTAATCTTCCGTCGATATTTCTGATTGTAAAACCACAGATAATCATATTGACACGAAAGACAAGGTGCCAATGACCAGTCGAAAAGAGATCTAGAGCACTTAGATGAAGGCACGGTTCATGTCAACATACAAATCGCGGCTTGTTTGCGGATGAGACAGCCGGCAGTGTGACAACAATAAAGCACCCTGGCTTAATTGAACGCGGGACACAGGAAAAAAAACTTGGTAGACATTTATTTAAATCAAGTGGCCCTAAGATATTCTCATAAAATCAAAGTTCCGAATAGAAGAGTTTCAATGACTTGTTATGACTTTCGGAAATGTTTGTTTAAGTTATGGTCTTCCGACGCCCCCGCAGTCGCATGTTTGCCGTTGGCTAGTGGCTAGAGACCAACTTTATCTTCGGAAAACGAGCACTTCACGACAACCTTTGGTCAGCGATTCGAGTCCCCGCCAAACTTGAGCCCAGAGTTCGCCCCTGCTCGGTCAGCACCTAGACTGGCGGCTCAACCGCTGACCAAGGAGACCTGCTGATAGTCAAGTTCCTGAATGTCAAGTAGAAAGAAGGCACTGACATTCTCGTCACCAATGCTACTCGTTTCGATTCGTTTGTATGTTGTGATGGAGTTATGACGCGAGTGTTGTTCCCCCACCACTTGACAAAAGAGACTGAGGTCCTGGGTGCGAGTCACGAAGATGATACACTAACGCACTTGATCTCACGGCTCGGTCATAAATGAGAACGTACGAATAGTACAATAAAAAGTAACCGTTATAAAGGGTACAGAAAATAGCCCTTTTATCAACAAACGCATACAGTAATCTTAAGTCTTGCGCCTGATTATAGAGACACTGATTTTTCCGTCAATCGATCAATAAACCGGCCGATCTCTAACAGCTACAAGCACACTTGAGAGCCAATAATAGCGCGTGCAGCATTTACAGTATTTAAGAAATAGAAAACATGTACCGTGTTTCTATCGAGTTTTTGTATAAATCTACCGGCTTTCTATCACGAATGCCGTTCTCTGATTGGCTAAGCTACTCACTATCTATTTTGTGATAGATAGTGAGTAGCGTAGCAGTGTACCCTTGTCAATAAAATGACGGCCCCTTCTTGGCGTTTTCAAAGTATCTGTGAAGAGGATTTAGTTAAAGTTTTGAACGACTAGCTAGTAGATTTACACTAAAACAATTAGATTATTCGCTCTCGATTTCTATTCAGTTGTGATGGTTGACAAGGGTGCAGCCCGATAAAAATCGAGAGCGAATAATCTAATTGTTTAATATATAGAAACACGATTTAAACCAATCAGCGCGCGTATTTTCTTTGGGCTATTTTCTGAAGTAATCAACGTTGTTCCTCAGTTAGTCGTGCCCGGCGTTCTCCATACAGCCTCCAAAATTACAACTGTCCGGTCTGTTTACTGTTTGATTATCATTCAGTGGAGATATAGCCGACTTGTCAGGAGAACATATCCTGTGTTTTTCCGCTACTTTTTTACGACCATAACTCCCTGGTATAGGACTTCGATTATCTACGGACTCAACCTTGCCATTGTGAATTCCACTTGCTGCCGGTGATGAAGAGATGGAGGCTGGTGAAGGGTACACTGCGAAAAAGTGATCTAAATACTCCAAACGGTCTCCAAAATATCGTCCGCAAGGGCATGCACATTTCTTGTGGGAGTTTCTTTTGTGAATTTCGAGAACATCAGGAGAACAGAAGACCTTGGTGGGACAGAAAGGGCAGCGAAGTTGATCTTGAATGTGTTGTTTCAAGTCACTTTCCTGTTGGAATGAATTTTCTTTTTTGTTGAATTTGCATTCCTGATTTGGGCAAACAAACCCATGCACCGCTCTGTCATGATAGTTTAGTTCTGTTTTCCCGGTGAAAGCAATAAAGCAATATGGACATTTGAACTGTACAAAATCCAGCAATGTTGTTTCTGGTTTAAATTCGACGAATTCGAGCTTGACACGTTGCTTTTTGTACAAGGTTTTGGCGAGTTCTTCGTTACCTCTCGTCGATTTTGAGATGACATAATACGCACGAGTGGCATTGGAATCACTGTTGACAAACGAACCATCTCTGGTGGATAGACTTGCTGCACATTTCGGCCTACTTTTTTTAACAGGCGTTAATGTATAGTCGGCTTCAAATTTAAAGCTAGTTACATACGATTCCAGCAATTTCCAAGCGGAGTCTGTCTGTTCTACGGATGCAGGGTGCTTAAATAGCCATGGTTGGTACTTCGGAAGCGATTTCCACGAAACATCGTGTCGGTAGAATATGTGAACAACAATAGTCCCTCGTAGCGATGGCGACAGCGTGATTCCCTTGATAAAATTGATCAAGTCCGTATCCCACTCGATAAAGAACACCATACGTCGATTGGAATTCATGGCGAGCGCACAAAAATTTGCGATATTGTGCAAATTGCTGAATTCAGGGGGAACATAAGATCGGCAGTCTCCTTGAACACCAAATCGTTTGCTTTCGCTGAAAGAATTCGTTTACTTTAAAAAATCGCAGTGTCATTTGGTTCCTCGTCGCCATAGACAAGACATCCAGCCCTTCTGAAGCTTCTCGGTTGATTTGAAATCTCAAATAAGGCTAAATAAACTTCATGTAACCTCCTGTTGTGTTGAGTTCTGAAGATGAATAATTACATTTTGTTTAAATTCTTCTTTGTTCACTGTATCGTATAGTTTGTTTATAATATTTTCTGACAGGTGTTTAATGACGAATTTTTTTTCAAGGCGATTAATTACAGGTCGCATGGCAACCCATACATTTGCATTAAATGAGACACTATTTCAATTATTGAAATACAGGTGAATTAGAATTTATTGAAGTTTTAATTTTTATGAGATGATCGATTCTATGCATGAATTTCAGAGTTTACAATACACAAAGTTTTAATTCATTTGCTTATTTAAGGAGAGGCTTGCGACGATCAGACAGAGTTTTATTATTTGTTTTAGGAAATTAGACATTTATTTGAAACTGAAGCTTTTAGTGTAGTCAAGATCCTGCTGTAGAGAGGGTTAATTTTACACCCAAGTCCAAATTTCTGACCAGCTGTACGTTCAATTTGCAACCGCTCGAATATATTTCGTCTCCGCATTCTTCGCGCGTTTTGCGATGCTTCGCTTGACGAACTGGAACATCTGCTGTTACGCGGTCAAAGTTTATTTCTGAAAAAATTTCCAAGATAAGACTTGCATGCTGATTGGTTGAAGCGAGTACGAACTTCAAATCCCCGGATCAAGGACCGCAGACCAACCCGAGAGGTGGGGTATAATGAGATGTCAGAATCGAGGAAGAAATTAGAAACGTGTGGACGTAATGAGAGCACTAGCACTCGGCTGCTTTTTAATCGTGTTGGTCAACTAGTCCACCATGAAGACGAGAGTACTGTTTGTAGTTTTTCTGCAGACCAAGTCTTGAGTTAACCCGGCGAGGGATAGAAGCACTAGAACGCAAGGGGCGGGGCTGGGGAAAGATAATGACTCGTAGCAAAAAATAAACGTCTGTGGGCAGACTATCTCGAGACTATTCTGTTTGTCGATCCGTTTCCTAAGCGAT